AGTATGCTTGTCGATTTTGTAAGCGTGTATAATTGTTAAACCTTGTATACATCACATCGTTAAAAGTGTTGATTTCCGGGGCAAACCCGATGTTTTCCCAATACATAGAATTACATGTCTTATTTATTGTTATACTGATACAACGATTGTTTATGATTACCCAGGTGACATTGGATTAATTATGGGTTGTGAGTCGTTATAATCACGCATTAACGAAAATGACTAGTTTATAACTACCAATTACAAACGATCCTTTAGGCGTCGTCCATAAGACTCACTTAATCCAACCACCCTGACTTCTCATAGCCCCACAACTTAGGAGAAAGGAAGGTACGAAGCCCCCGTTATTTCCATAAGTCGTTCAAGGCTATCGTGAATGCGAAAGGCACTTCGCCCGACTCGCATTTGACTTCTCGACTTTGCTAGCAGTACCAATGGACCCTTGGGGCCCAACAGCACAATAAAGCTATTGAAAGTCCTTTTACATGGAATTAGGTCATAGAAGGCCCAATAACATGTAAGCGCGTTCCCTTCGGGCCTAAAGATCGTGTCATTGGGCTAGCTAGGCCCAACAAGCATGATTTGAAACTTTCAAGCCCAAAGATTGAGTATTGACTTCTCGTAAATTTCGCATGTTTTATTGAAGTACTAATGTTTATTGATTGTTGTTTTGTAATTGATTCGAGACCGAATCAAATCGTTTGGTAACGATACTGGTGTTGAAGGTGTATTTGATATTACGTTTCGCTAGTAGTCGTAGTGCTCGTATTTTATCTAATGGGATTTATTTGTTTATAAGTAAAAGGTTACCTTTTTGTGACCCTACTTAAATAAAATTTACACTTTTAATCCTTTATATAAAATAATTTCCATTTTAGTCCCTAAACCATTTTTCTTGACACTTTAGCATCAAAACTCATTGAAAAGACATTTTCAGCCAAGATTTACTTAATAAACAGCTTAAGTCCTTCAAAATGAGGTTTTCTCAGTTGGAACCCCCATTTTCGCAATCTTTACAATTTTGGCCCAAAATGGAAAATTTTTGCATTTTTGATCTCTTTTGAATTTGAAAAGCATTTTTGACCATTAAACTAGTTTCAATACACTTGTAATCCCCTGTTTTACGGAAACTTGCATTTTCAGCCACTCTATTCCACAAATTTCGCAATTTGGGGCTTATTGGGCCGAAAAGCCCATTTTTAGCCCATTATGATTAAAATTTACATTTTAAGCCCCTCAAAAGTGTTGTTATTCAGAAAAAATATATTAAAAACTTTTTGGACTCTTTTCAACATCCAAAAATTTTCATTTGTCATTTTGGGCCCTTAGTTTTTGTATTTTTGACAATTTGAGCCAAAAATTGGGTTTTATGTCTAAAAATGTCCATCCTAATCAAATAAATTAATTTTCTTGACTTGATTAGTGTAAAATGGTATAACTTAAGTTTATTTCATTCCTCTTGTTGTAGATCTCGATTTATAGGTATTTTTAGCCAACATATTCATCACATAACACCTAAAATCATACATACAAGCATAAAAATCACACAAGACATATATTTACTCATAGATCTACACATTTGCTTGTATTCTGCCCCATAAAAACCAAAAAAGAGGGGGTATGAAGCTCACCTTGGGTGTGGTTTCTTTTTTGGAAGGAAATGATGAGAAGAATTCGATCCTAGCAACCTTCCTTGGAAGATGTCGAACTTGGATGCTTCTTAGATGCTAGATCATGAGTTTTAATGAACTAAGAGGTGATTTTTGGATGAAATGAAGTAGTTAGATTATGGATCTAAGAGATTTCTTACCTTAGATGATGATTTTTATGGAAGAAGCCCTTGAACTCTTCGTAGATCTTCGAAAATATGGAGGAGAAATGACGGAGTTTCTTGAGAGAATGGTGAGTGAAATGTATGTATGTGTATGTGTGTGCTTGAAGTCGGCTGAGAGCAAGAGAGAGAGGGAGAAGAAGAGAGTGTTGCATGGAAGTATGGGAAATGCATGGAATTCCCTTGAATAATTGTGAAGTGGCACACACAAAGTCAACTCTTTCCTCTTTGTGAGCTTGGGCCGAGAATGGAGAGGGAAAGAGGTGATTTTTGGGCCTTAAAGGCTTAAGCCCACTTTCATACTTATGTTAAGTATTTTTGGTCCTAATAAATATAAGTGTGATTTTTATGACCTATTAGGGCTCAATTGGGTTAATTATGCCCCAAAATGGCTCATATAATGAATTTATTTCATTTTAGGCTCAATATGGCCGAAAATATTGAAATACATGGAAGTGGGTCCAATTAGAGCCCATTTAAGAGTTCTAAGTCGAATATAGTCAAATTGGAAGATTATTGGTCCATTGGACCCAATAAGGATGTCCTAGTCCAAAATGGACTTAAACAAGAACTCCTAGGGTTTCCAATTGCTTCTTGACTACGTGAAATGCTTGTATGGGGTGTTTGTTTGAAATTTTGTTATCATAGAGTATGCATCATGCATGCTCTTATGTCTTTGATTCACAATTTGACTTAAGTGTTGTAGTTACAAGGCACAAAAATTTCTAGTTGTGACACTCAAAGACCAAGCATATTGAACTTCGGTATCACTTCATCAAAGACCACATTCTGAGAGGTAACATTGAACTCATCTTTGTCCCTACACATGAAGAGATTGCTGATGTGTTTACAAAGGCACTTGACTCTACCAAACTCAATGCATTCTTACAGATGTTTGGAATGAGGAATCCGGACCGTCAATACTTCCAGAATTATTAGCTACTGCGGAACATTCATGGTCTCCATTGCGGTTCTAAATGAAAGATATTTATAATAAATGGTTTTGGGATATCCTGTGTACTGCAGTCGCATACCGCAACCATATATTATATTTACCTCTCATTGTTCTTTTGGTTGTTATTACTAAACTCTCTTTCAAGTGCTTTTCTCAGTTGCTCCTACCGTAATCATTCACAATGGCAAAGGATCCATCTGTAGTGATGTGTTCATCCGCAACATCTTTTTTTTAATAAATATATAAAAAAACTTTCAAAAATAAACCATAGTGTGCTATTTAATGACTATTCATTAAATAGGACATTAAATAAAAGGCACATTAAAAGGAGAACTAAGCACTCCTTATAATGGGGGGTGAAAGTGGGTTAGATCTGATCCCACATCGGCTGGGAAGGAGAACTAAGCACTCCTTATAAGGGGTGTGGATACCTTACCTAACACAACGCGTTTTAAAGCCGTGAGGGCAGCAGATCCCATAAGAACTCTGCAGTTAAGCGTGCTCGGGCGGGAGTAGTACCGGGATGGGTGACCCCCTGGGAAGTCCTCGTGCCGAGTGGCCCAAAGCGGACAATATTGTGATACGTGCCAGAGGGGGGTGTTACAAATGGTATCAGAGCTAGGGCACGGGTCGATTTGTTCGACAGGGACGTCGAACCCTATAATGGGGGGTGAAAGTGGGTTAGATCTGATCCCACATCGGCTGGGAAGGAGAACTAAGCATTCCTTATAAAGGGTGTGGACACCTTCCCTATCACAACGCGTTTTAAAGCCGTGAGGGCAGCAGATCCCATAAGAACTCTGCAGTTAAGCGTGCTCGGACGGGAGTAGTACCAGGATGGGTGACCCCCTGGGAAGTCCTCGTACCGAGTGGCCCAAAGCGGACAATATTGTGATACGTGCTAGAGGGGGATGTTACAAATGGTATCAGAGCTAGGGCACGGGTCGATGTGTTCGACGGGGACGTCGAACCCTATAATGGGGGGTGAAAGTGGGTTAGATCTGATCCCACATCGGCTTGGAAGGAGAACGAAACATCTACTTATAAGGGGTGTGGATACCTTCCCTATCACAACGCGTTTTAAAGCCGTGAGGGCAGCAGATCCCATAAGAACTCTGCAGTTAAGCGTGCTCGGGCGGGAGTAGTACCGGGATGGGTGACCCCCTGGGAAGTCCTCGTGCCGAGTGGCCCAAAGCGGACAATATTGTGATAGGTGCCAGAGGGGGTGTTACAAATGGTATCAGAGCTATGGCACGGGTCGATGTGTTCGACAGGGACGTCGAACCCTATAATGGGGGGGTGAAGGTGGGTTGCACCTGATCCTACATCGGTTTGGAAGGAGAACGAAACATCTCCTTATAAGGGGGTGTGGATACCTTCCTTGTCACAACGCGTTTTAAAGCCGTGAGGGCAGCAGATCCCATAAGAACTCTGCAGTTAAGCGTGCTCGGGCGGGAGTAGTACCGGGATGGGTGACCCCCTAGGAAGTCCTCGTGCCGAGTGGCCCAAAGCGGACAATATTGTGATACGTGCCAGAGGAGGTGTTACAAATGGTATCAGAGCTAAATTGGCTATAGAGAACTCGTATCCTCGAGAGGGGAAATACAACTATAGCTACAGGCTCCTAATAAAAGTATTATTAATAAATACACTACTTCTTGACTGCTAACGGGAGAGGAAACTGGTTTGAAGGGCCGCTAGGGTTGCTAGATTTCAAAACGGCTTAATTGCCACAATGGTCTTGCCCCCGGTGTTTCATGTCAGACCCTCGTCCGCAATTTGTAGTCATGAAGTACAAAACAAATTTTAATAATACTACAAATCTCACCAACAATAATATATAAGAGTATATATATACTCTGACCGCGATGAGAACACTTAATAAAAAAAAAAATCCGACATGCCTTCAACTAAAGCTGCCAACTCAACCCTTTAGGTCAAAAGCCTCAACTAAGGTTAGTATCGTGCATAGGCCATACCATAAATAAACCTGGAACGCGCGCCTATGTTATTTATGGTCGGGCTGGTGAACAACCAACCTTGAGCGACGAGTTTGACAGGCTACAATGGTTGAGAGTTTTAGAGATTGGAAGATGTTCTCAAGATACACTGCAGATACCTAATGGATTAAAATCCCTCTAACAACTTTAAAACACTCACACAATTAAAAATCATCTCTAAAATACTAATTTTTCTTTAAACCCCTTGACGCAGATGGCAAACGACCACCGGGATGGGATGGACCCTGCAAACCATGAGAATCATCATGAGGCTCCTATGCACTTGGTTGGGGACCCATATTTTCCTGAAGACGCCCCAGCTGACCTCGCCGAGGAGGAAGACCCTTCAGAAGAGGAAGACCCTATAGAGGAGGAAGACCCGTCAGAGGACGAGGATGAGGATGTTGCAGAGTCAGACAATGAGGGTATATTGGAGGGGGTACAAGAAGAAATGAATGATGATGGCCCAGTGGAGGGTGAGGAGAGCCTCGTAGATGAGGAGCCTACTGCTACTCCACCTCCCTCACCACCTAGACTGTGTTATCAGCCACATCGCCGCCACGGAAAGAGTCCTGTATTGCGGAGGACTCCTAGGATGAGTGTTCCCACAGTATCCCATCTAGACACCTTCTCCTACCTTTCCCGACCCATCTGCAGTCAGAAGAGGAAACCAAGTTCTTTCTTCGAGCCCACTTGGCTCACCGACATGCTCCGCCAAAGGAGGATTACTAATGATCCTCCACGTTTTGAGAGAGGTGAGTCTTCTCGAGGACCACCACGTGCACCATTTGGGGGTGACCCCGAGGATCAGGATGACAGATTAGCAGAACGAGTCAAATCCCTAGAGGAACTTTTTAGAGCTTCAGATAATACCACTAGAATCATCGAGCGGCGAGTTGATAGACTTGAGGAGGAGGAGAAGGATGATGCAGAAGCCATTCAGACACTCTATCACAACATGGGCGCTGGTCGAACTGAGGCGAAAGCCATGGGTGCCCATATCAGGGCCCTAGAGTACCGGATTCAAGTTATGCAGAGCCGACTAGATGCAATCGAGCACAGAGCGACCATTGCATTACAGGAGCGACGTCAACTTCAGGAGAAATTTGAGGAGCTGGCCCGCTATCTGGTCTATCACTTAGGATGGTAGGCATCTAACTAGGGTGGCTTGTGCCCTAAGGTATGGTTAGGATTTTTGTTGGAGAAGCTAATTGTACTACAAGTTTAGATCATTGCATGTTGGAAACTATTCTTTGTGAAGCTTTTTCCATTTCTAACCTTGCGCGGTTAGTACTTTTGTAACATTTCTAACTGAAAACAAGCAGGTCAATTTATGAATCTAGTTTGGTATCTTGCTAATTGTTGAAATTTATCATATGTATTGCTTGAGAAATGCTATAACTACTTGGTATACTATCGAACAAGGAATTTCATGATATAATTTGGAAATCCGTGAAATCTTAAGAACAATTACACAAAGATACAACTCAAACATACCCATCATGACTACGAATTACAAACAACTAAAAAAAAGGGTGTTTTCTGAATGTTTAGGACAATGGCCCCACGAAAGAGTCCACGAGTTCGTCCCCCACCAACTCCCCGAGGCAATCAAAGAGGTACGCCAGTGGTAACTCGAACTACAGAAGGAGCACCAGATGAAACTCCACCGGTCGTCAATAACTCAAACCCACCGTTCCAAATGGATCCCACCTTCATGCAAACCCTACTTGCCCAAGGAATTGCTACGGCCATAGCCGCATATGAGGCAGCCCGGAATGACAACTCGGGAAACAGTAGAAATGGGGGTGGCACTCCAATTGCGAACAAAAACAATTCCAAGCCCTGTTCATACAAGGACTTCATGGGATGCAAACCCCGACCCTTCTACGGCACGGAAGGAGCTGTTGGTCTAACTCGCTGGATCGAAAAAATGGAGGCAGTGTTTCGTATCAGTGCTTGCACCGAGGACTGCCGAGTAAAGTATGCTACCTGTACACTGATGGATTCTGCCCTAACTTGGTGGAATAACCATGCTAAGTCCATTGGGATCGATGAAGCTTATGCAATGGGTTGGGAACCTCTGAAACAAATGATGGTCAAGGAGTATTGTTCCCGACAGGAAGTCCAAGCTTTGGAGCAAGAACTCTGGAATCTCACCATGAAAGGATCGGAAGTGGCTGCCTACACTTCTCGGTTTAACGACCTTGCAAGTATCTGTCCAGGAATGGTAACCTCGGAAGATAAGAAGATTGAAAGGTACATTTGGGGATTGGTGTCGCCAGTCCAAGGTCTGGTGACTGCATCTAGACCCTCTACATTTGATAGCGCTAAGAAATTGGCATATCAGTTGACTGAACAGTGTATCCGTCAGGGTACCATGGCTCCACAAGCAAAACAGAGTCAGGGAACGAAGCGAAAATTCCAGGGAAAGTCAAAGGGGAACCCCAAGCATCACAAACCCAAGCCAGAGCCTACTGCTGTCTATGCCGCAATCACGAACACTCCCACCCCATCCAAGCCCTACAGTGGAACTCTGCCTCGCTGTACCAAATGCAACTTTCATCACGTAGGAAATTGTAGGGATATAACTTGCAACAACTGTGGCGTGAGAGGCCACATCGCAAGGTACTGTAAAACGGAACCAAACACAACGAACTCAACCACCATTACGGGAGGAAGCCGTAACTGCTTCGAATGCAACCAACCAGGACACTTCAGGAAGGACTGTCCAAAATTGAAAAATCAGGGGGGCAAAGGAAGAGCATTTGTGATCACCGCAGGAGATGCTCGCCAGGAACCAACTGTGGTTACTGGTACGTTTCCTATCAACCATATTTATGCTTATGTATTGTTTGATACTGGTGCCGATAAGAGTTTCATTGACCATAAGTTTAGAAGCATGCTAAACCATAAATCCTGCAAACTTAACGAGGCTTACACGGTAGAAATGGCGAATGGACAAATAGAAAGTACCTTAGAAATACTTACAAATTGCCTTCTCACCTTGAATAACCACACCTTTCACGTCAACTTAATACCTATGACCATTGGTAGTTTCGATGTGATTATCGGAATGGACTGGTTATCACCTCACCGAGCAGAAGTACTATGCTATGAGAAAGCCGTCCGACTGCCCCTACCCAACGATGAAGCTATTGTGATTTACGGAGATAAATCGGGAAAGAATTTAAGAGTTATATCTTGCATGAGGGCGAGAAAGTGCTTGCGGAAGAGATGCTTCGCTTTCTTGGCCCACGTGGTGGATATGCAAGGCAAGGGTAAGGAAATCAAAGATATCCCACAAGTGTGCGATTATCCGGATGTATTTCCGGAGGACTTACCTGGACTACCCCCAGTCAGGCAGGTCGAATTCCGAATCGACTTAATACCGGGTGCCACGCCAGTGGCAAGATCTCCTTATCGCCTGGCACCATCGGAAATGCAAGAACTATCCAGTCAACTTCAGGAACTAATTGATAAAGGCTTTATCCGGCCAAGCTTTTCACCCTGGGGAGCTCCGGTATTGTTTGTCAAAAAGAAAGATGGGTCGTTCAGGATGTGCATCGACTATCGAGAGCTGAACAAACTTACCGTCAAGAATCGATACCCACTCCCGAGGATCGATGACCTGTTCGATCAGCTGCAAGGATCCTGCTACTACTCGAAGATCGATCTGAGATCTGGTTATCATCAACTCGGAATTCAAGAAGATGACATTCCAAAGACGGCATTCAGGACCCGGTACGGTCACTACGAGTTCCTGGTTATGCCCTTCGGGTTGACCAACGCACCAGCTGTGTTCATGGATCTTATGAATAGAGTGTGCAAACCCTATCTCGACAAATTCGTGATCGTCTTTATCGATGGCATTTTAATATACTCACGAACAAAAGAAGAACATGGCCAACACTTGAGATTGATCCTGGAACTGCTAAGGAAGGAGAAGCTTTATGCAAAACTCTCAAAATGTGAATTTTGGATGAACGAAGTGCATTTCCTCGGCCATGTGGTTAGCAACAAGGGGATACATGTTGATCCTGTGAAGGTTGAAGCGATTAGGGATTGGAAAGCACCAACAACGCCAACTGAAATACGCCAATTCCTAGGGCTCGCAGGCTATTATCGGAGATTCATCGAGAACTTCTCTAGAATAGCCAAACCTCTCACCACTCTAACGCAAAAGGAACAGAAATTTGACTGGGGAGACAACCAGGAGTCTGCTTTCCAAAGGTTGAAAGAATCGTTGTGCAGTGCACCGATTCTATCACTCCCAGAGGGAACGGAGGACTTCGTAGTATTTTGCGACGCTTCTCGTCAGGGATTAGGTTGCGTACTGATGCAAAGAGATAAAGTTATTGCATATGCATCCAGACAACTTAAACCCAATGAAATGAACTACACTACCCATGATCTGGAATTGGGAGCTGTAGTGTTTGCCTTGAAGATTTGGCGGCACTACCTATACAGAACGAAGTGCGTTGTATTAACTGATCATAAAAGCCTCCAACACATATTCGATCAGAAAGAGCTCAACATGAGGCAACGACGGTGGGTAGAACTGCTAAATGATTACGAATGTGAGATTCGTTATCACCCTGGCAAAGCAAATGTCGTAGCAGACGCTTTAAGCAGGAAAGAACGAGCAAAACAACTTTGCGTAAAGGCTCTAACCCTAACAATCCACTCTAATCTCACCGCCCAGATTCGAGATGCCCAACAAGAAGCTCTCAATCCCGAAAATATCGTGGAAGAAAACCTACGGGGTATGGACAAGCAGTTCGAAGTCAAGGAAGACGGAACACGATATTTCATGAACCGAATTTGGACCCCTAGGTTTGGAGAAGTCAGGAACTTGATTTTAAACGAAGCTCATAAGTCGAGATATTCGATACACCCCGGATCAGACAAGATGTACCTCGACCTTAAGAGGCTATATTGGTGGCCTAACATGAAGGCGGAGATTGCCACATATGTCGGTAAATGCCTGACTTGTGCCAAGGTCAAGGAAGAATACCAAAAACCATCAGGGTTGCTACAACAACCATCGATTCCGGAATGGAAATGGGAACAAATAGCAATGGACTTCATAACGAAATTGCCAAAGACTTCAAGCGGTCATGACACCATTTGGGTTGTGGTTGACCGTTTGACCAAGTCTGCCCATTTCCTAGCCATTAAAGAAACCGACAAGATGGAGAAACTCACCAGGACCTATATCAAGGAAATAGTCAGATTGCACGGAGTACCAATATCTATTATCTCGGACCGTGATAGCAGATTCACTTCTAGATTCTGGCAAACCCTGCAGAGGGCTCTAGGCACCAAACTCGACATGAGTACTGCGTATCATCCTCAGACAGATGGACAGAGTGAAAGGACGATACAGACCTTGGAGGACATGCTTCGCGCTTGTGTGATAGACTTTGGTAATGCGTGGGATGTCCACTTACCACTAGTTGAATTTTCATATAATAATAGTTATCACACTAGTATTCAGGCTCCGCCATTCGAGGCTTTGTACGGGCGCAAATGTCGTTCTCCACTATGCTGGGCAGAAATTGGCGATACACAACTGACTGGAAAGCATGCAGGAGATACTTTACGTACTGGCCCTGAAATCATTCAGGAAACCACAGAAAAGATTTTTCAGATTAGGGAAAGGTTAAAGGCCGCACGTAGTCGTCAGAAAAGCTACGCTGACGTGAGACGTAAACCCCTTGAATTCGAAGTAGGTGACCGTGTACTACTGAAAGTCGCACCATGGAAAGGAGTCATTAGATTTGGGAAAAGAGGCAAATTGAACCCTCGATACATCGGACCTTTTGAAATCTTAGCAAGGGTTGGTCTAGTGGCTTATAAGCTCAAACTACCGCAAGAACTCAACAAAGTCCACGATACTTTCCACGTATGCAATCTCAAAAAGTTTCTCTCTAATGAGAACCTTGCGATTCCCCTCGAGGAGATACAACTCAACACTAAACTTCACTTCGTAGAAGAACCAGTAGAGATCATGGATAGAGAAATCAAACGCCTTAAGCAAAGCCGCATACCTATAGTTAAAGTCCGATGGAACTCACGTAGAGGGCCAGAGTTTACGTGGGAACGCGAAGACCAAATGAAACAGAAATACCCACAACTGTTTAGCAG